TATAGCAATTCCCTGTTTACTACCAATTTTATTTATAAAACCAGATCTACCCTATAACCTTTGAATGGGCCAACCTAAACCGCGTGTCTTGAATTTAAATCACAATAACATTTAGTAGCGGTGTAAATACCCACGACAAGAAAAGCAGATTTCAAGAGATTTAATGTTTTCACTATATCACATATTTTTGTGGGGTCAAATGTTAATGGTTTAAGGAAAAACTAGGGTTCATGGGGATTTGATTTCCTGGATGAAGAATTGTTGGTTAGTTATAATTATATAGGACATTTTACATGTCGTGCTGGACATGACAACGCAGGTCTTTTAATACCTCGAAAACACGAAAATTAGTAAATCAATAGAGCCCTGCCCTAACACCAGAACCCTTGACCGAAGGGGCATGAAATTCATAATTTTGGAAGAGGCACCCTTGTTCATCATAATTAAAAACTGTGAATGTCTAATACCCAGGAGCAGAGAAGTCAAAGAAATGGTGCTTTGTAATCAATAAAGCCCCTTCCCCCTTCCAACATAAGAGCCCCTGACCCTGGAACCACATATTGGAAAGAGGCTTATTACCACCATGCACTTAGTGTATCAGCTAAATATCTAGGAGCAGAGAGAGAGAAAGAGATTTTTAAAGAGATAATTTGTTTTCACCATATAATCTCGTCCCACCCTTAAACCAGAACCCCAGACCCAGGGCCCATGAAATTCACTATTTCCAAAGGGGCCTTTTGCTCATCAGAATTATGCACTAAGTTTGTTTTATTAAAATCTAGGAGCAGAGAAAAAGATTTTCAAAGAAATAAGACATTTTCAATTTATAATCTGTAGAGCCCCACCTTCAACATAAGAGCCCCTGACCCTGGGACCAAAAATTTTACAATTTTGGAAGAGGCACCCTTGCTCATCATTAACATACATAAAACTTAGTTTACAATACACTTAGTTTACACTTAGTTTATATGGTTAATACAAAGGAGCAGAAAAGAAGATTTTCAAAGAATCAATGCGTTTTCTCTATATAATCAATAGAGCCCCATCCGTACATCAGAACCCCTGACTTGCTTAATAGCCAAGTGCAGAGAAGAATATTTTCAAGAAAATAGTGCATTTTAACTATATGATAATCAATAGAGCTCCCCCCCCCCATACGAGGACTCCTGGGCCAAAAATTCCATAATTTATGAAGAGGCTCCCTTGCTTCTCGTACCTGTGCACTTATTTTATCTGCTAAATAAACAGGGTGAGAGAATAAGACTTTTACAGAATCAATGCATTTTCTTATATAATTATTAGAGTCCCACCCTAACTCTTAGAAACCCTGACCATGGAGCCATGAATTTCACAATTTTGGCAGAGGGCTCAATATTTAATTTTTTTTACTTTCACTATGTCAATCTGGTTGAAGTGATCTGAAGGCTTATGATTCGACTTGTATTGCTCCTTTTTAGCTCTATTGGTCAGAGACCAGAAGAGCTTACGCGAAAGTAAGGTGTCCGTCCGTCTGTCTGTCTGTCAATAATTTTTCAAAATGCTACTCCTCCTACACTTTTGGTCTGATTTCAATATAACTTGGCACATAAGTAGACTACATTAAGATACACAATTCTGTTTATCTTTTTTTTATTTTGATGAACGGTGTTGCCATGGTTCCTAAAAATAAAATTTTCAGTGAAATAGTTTCAAAACGGTCTTTCAGTTTTGGTCTGATTTCAATATAACTTGACAAACAAGTAGACTAAACTAAGATACATAATTCTTATTATCGGTTTTTGATTTTGGATGAACAGTGTTGCCATGGTTAAAAAAAAAAAGATTTTTCTGTGAAGTACACTCAAAACTCTACTCCCCCTTCAGTTTTAGTCTGTTTTCAGTATAGCTTGGCACACAAGTAGACAATACTAAGATGCATAATTCTATATATCAGTTTATGATTTCAATGAACAGTGTTGCCATGTTACAAAAATAGAATTTTTTTATAAAATACATCATAAAATACAGTGTAGATTCAAGTTTGTTCATGTCATGACTCACCGGGCTAGACAATGAGGAATCAAAGTTTTACATTGGAATATGTAGGACAAAATCTTTATAAGTCTTCTAAAAACAACCCAAAAGCCATGTTTAGGCATATTAATTTTAAAAGGTAGCATCCTCAGGTAATGTAGATTCAGGTTTATTCAAATCATGACCTCCAGGGTTGGATGGGGCCGCAATGGGGGATACTTAGGAATATACAAGGGAATTTTTTTTTAAAAATCTGAAGAAGAACATCAAAGCCATGTTTAGTTGTATTGATATGGAAGCATCCTCAGGTAGTGTATATTCAAGTTTAATTGATCAAATAATGATACCGTCAGTATGTAGAGCTAGTCGGTAGAGAGCTTGCTCCGTGACCGGAAGGTCGTATGTTCGAATCACGTCCGCGACTGACCTAAGTCGATAAAAAATAGGTAGCAACTATTTCTTCGCCAAGCGCTCGGCACTTTGAAGTGAAAGTTGCGGGTCTTTCAGATGAGACTTTAAAAACCGAGGCCCCGTGTCACGATAGGCGTTGGCGATTTGTAGGCGATAGAGAACCCTCACTCCTCAATGGCCCCGAGTGCCGATTAAAGGTCAAAATTTGAAGCCCTTCACCGGTATATGGTGACGTCTCTATATGAGAGAAAAATTATCAAAATTGGTAAATATTTCCCATTCCAATCAAATTGGAATTAAATGCTAAATTTCTTTTTTATCAATTGAGAAAACTTAATTCTTGGGGATTTGTCAAATCGCATTTGCTACAACTGAACCGTTCTGAGAATGTGTTTTAGCGATCAGAACAAAATGTCTGTAAGCCTCATATCTGTTTCCATTTCCATTGGACAATGTAAAGAACTCGTAAAATCCGACACGCAAAGCCTCGGCCAAGTCGACAGACGACGAAGCACTTGGTATTGTTAATGACGAAATAACACTGTCTTACGATGATGCAGAAGAGTAGGCATTAAACCTGATATTCTGGTCCACTGTGTCGTCATATGTGATTTCCCCAGCCTGTATATCATTGGTTGAAATTTTCAACTCTCCTGCTAAATCGCCGATGGTTGTAAAACAACATACAATCAATCAAACCGTGACCCCCAGGAGTAGGGTTAGGCCACAATGTGCGATCAAAGTTTTACATAGGAATATATAGGGAAAAAAATTCTTTTCAAGAACAGCAAAGCCATGTTTAGTTTTATTGATATGAAAGCAGGTAATGCAGATTTAAATTCGTCCACGGCGGTAGGATTGGGTCACTATGACTGTCAGAGTTGAACATATTGATATATTGGAGAACTAAATATTTTTCTCAAGAACAGCAAAGCCGAGTTTAATCGTTGATTTGGAAGTATATTTTGAGGTAGTGTAGATTCACGTTTGTTCAATCCATGGAATGGAGAGGCAACATCTATAAAAACATGACACCCGGGGGAAGGTTTGGGTCACAAATAGGGATCAAAGTTTTACATAGAAATATACAGTAGAAAAAAATCTGCTGATAAACAGTAGGGCAATATTAAATTAGGTGAACATTGTGGCCAATGGGCCTCTTGTTATTTCATATCATAGAGGTTTGTGAAAGATTAATGTTTTAAAAAAGTTCACCTTCCTTATGTGTGCCTGTAATGTATGTTCCACTAATTAAATTTTTATTTTCAGCAATTTGGTCTTCATGGTCATCATGGTCGTCATGCCCAAGTGATTGCATAACACAAAGTCTACAGAGGACTCAATCGTGCCAAAAGCCTTCAGGGTACAGTTGCGGGACAACTCCTTCACAATCCATTTCTTGCCTCCTGATCGGCTGCACATGTAAGTTTAACATACACATTTATGAGAATGCCTTCCACTCTCTTGCATATATCTATCAACAACATAACTTAGGTGTATACATATACACCCTTCAGCCCTGAAAGCATACAGGACACCAAAAATTCATTTCATTTTTTTTTTCAAACAAATTACACGTGAATATTTTTATGGAGCATATTATAGTGGTCAGGGTGAAAATCAGAGATAAAAAAAACTTGACTATTTTAAAAAGAAAAAAAAAACCTCTAGAAACCTTTTCCATAATAACATGCATGCAATACACGAAAGGTTATATTTTCTAACAAAGTTATTTAAACTAGCACATAATATATGAAATGCTGACTTTAAACGAGGTTGTTAAAATCCCTGTAACATCAACTTGCCTGTCGGTAGTCTGCCTCGATTTAAAAATTAGCGAACTCAGAACATGCTTTTGAGTATCGAATAATTTTGGATACGCCATATGCAGCTGAAAGCGAAACATTACTACATAAATAAGGAAAGCTGACGATGGAAAACTGAAGTCATTTCATTTGTCATACAATATAACTGTTGGTTTTCCTTTATCGTCTTTAGTCAACAAAACATCTAAATATGAAACAGATTGACAGACTAGGGCGTGTCTTTTATTTATTTGAACACTTTATAACCATTTCAACGATAAATTAAAGACCTGGTCATAATACACAATTGTTTCTTAAATAAACCTTATCATTGGTCATCTGCAAACTTATTTTGTTTCAAAACATTTTGATTCTTCTCTACTCTGCAGACAATTTGAAATGTTTAATTGGACTTTTGAGCATGATTGCTGTTCATTCTTTTCACTTTTCTTTCATCAGTGTATCCAAAGGTGTAATCAACATAAATTTGATTATTAATTTGACTAACATAAAAATATTTAAAACTTAAATAATTTTTTAAATGAACTGTGACATTGAATTAAAATTCAATTACGTCACTGCAAAAATAAATGATGAAATGTGACAGCGTGATGAACGTCATATATAAAATATGTTCTTATTATCCAAAGTAATTGCATGATATTTAAAAATGTTATACACAGCTTTTATGGGGGGAAAGTTGAAAATGAATAACGATTAATTAACTAACATTTGTATGGAGCTTTATAAACTAATGTTCCATTCCAACAGCTTCTACAGAAATCAGTAGAAGTACGCCAAATGACCTTATTTAGAAAAGTCTGACGTCTAACTGTTTTGTGGCCATGGGGAGGACATCTTTCACCTTCAGAGCCAGAGCAAACAATGACCTTCAGCTTGCATTGGGTACGCACGATTGTGATAACTGTGGTACACATTATGAATTTATTATTGGTGGATGGGGAAATACCAAGTCTGCTGTATATTATGGTCTATCTGGTACACAATGTGCTACGTACAGTCAAACTATTCTGGACCAAACGTTCTTCGACAGTTTCTGGATTTCATGGGCTGGGAATGATATCCGAGTGGGAAAAGGTGAAACAGTCGACAACAACGTTATCATGACTTGTACACGTACCACTCATTTCGATGCCAATTATATCTTGATCAGAACAGGATGGGGTTCCAGCGGGGAATGGAGATTTCCTAACGGTTTGTAAACTGATAATTTACTTTCACTCAACCATCTTTTGGAAATTGCAGATCTATAAAAGTTAATAAAAGAAATAGTCAAGCTAACTTTATGTATACCATACTATTACAATTACTATTATTTTACCAGATGTTGCATGTTTACATGAAAAAAACAGTTATGTCGACATTACTGCTGACAATACCGGCTGCAATGAAGTCAGCACGTACGCATGTGCGTCGGGATACAAACAAACTGCAGGGAACACGCAACGCACCTGTGGATTTGGGAAGATTTGGTCAGGATATCCTTTGGTCTGTTCAGGTAAGAGTGAAACCAAATGCTTTTGATTCTTACTCGCAGAATTCAATAATTGTAAATTGTCCACGTTACAGTATGAACTGAAGAATCTTCGTTCTTTCCAGACTCAACTTGCAAAATTGACATTTTATTCATCATTGAAGCATCCTCACATACATCTTCCATTTACTCAGCATTAGTTTCAACCATTGGCGATTTAGCAGGAGAGTTGAAAATTTCAACCAATGATATACAAGCTGGGGTTATCACATATGACGACATAGTGGACCAGAATATCAAGTTTAATGCCTACTCTTCTGCATCATCATTAGACAGTGCTATTTCGTCATTAACAATATCAAGTGCTTCGTCGTCTGTCGACTTGGCCGAGGCTTTGCGTGTCGGATTTTACGAGTTCTTTACATTGTCCAATGGAAACAGATATGAGGCTTACAGACATTTTGTTCTGATCGCTAAAACACATTCTCAGAACGGTTCAGTTGTGGCAAATGCTATTCGACAAATCTCCAAGAATCAAGTTTTCACAATTGGTAAAAAAGAAATTTAGCATTTAACTCCCATTTGATTGGAATGGGAAATATTCCTCTAGAGGTATGGTAATGATAAAAAATTACCAATTTGGAGAATTCCAGACTAAGTATCCTGTCAAATAGACTATTTTGAAGGCATGAATTCATATTCTGTATAAAAGTATGGTTTTTGTATCTTTTCTCCTTTAAAAGTTATCTACTTGAGTTTTAAGTCCACTTGGTTCAAGCTCAAAATTGAATTTAGTTTTTCTTTTAAATAATTGTATAGAATAGGCTTTTTACAATTTCCTAAGAATATCTGTACAGGTTTTGTAATATATTTCAAAGCAGAATGTTTTTTGTGGCAGCTAGAGGTATTGTTTTTACTTTTTTTCACCATGTTTGTTGTAATTAATTCCTGAAGTGCGGGGGAAAAGTCAATTTTCCGAAACAATTCACTAACTTATTGATTTTAAAAACAATCTCTTCAAAACTACTGATCTTTTTAAAGATTTTGGAAGAATCATTTTCGGAACCTTTGTTTCACCTAAGAAGTAGAAATATATTAAATACATGTATACTAAATTCAATTTTCCTACACTCCCATGGAGATTGTGAATATTTATGATAAAATGCCACTTTTTTCGAATAGAGATGATTCTTGAAGAATATAATGTAAATACCTCATACAATTTTTGACGTTTCTAGGATAATAATCATTAATGCCTCTGATCATGAAAGGGGGTATATTCAAAGATTACTTACCCCAAAGGAAATTGAATTTCAGGCATTGATCCTTCTTCTTCTTTGATCACTGACCTTAAGGCGATTGCTGGTGATGACAGCAGGTACTGGCAAGTGACCTCTCCAGCAGATTTATATCCTAAATTTAATGATATTCTACAGAAAATTGCTGTTTGTCCAACAACAGCTCTCCCTGATCCCGTGACAGTAGGTAAGTCAAAATATCAAGCTGTATTATAGTAAAGAATGTAAACCATAATAACACACGTATTTAGAATGGTATCACCCACTTGCATAGAAAGGACGCTTGCCGAAGGTGGGTTTTCAAATTAGGACTCTATTTACCGTGCTATTTTCCTATTGGCTTATGGAGAGTACAATCAAGTTTTGTGCAGATCAAGACAACTTCCCTACAAGTACAAGTAGTAGTTATACGATAGCGTACCAAGAGAGGGTCTTCTGTATAATCAGAAATTCAACAGCAGTTTCTCACACCCTTGAACAGTTGAACGTAAATAAAGGAGTTCGCATATATAGTTTTCGTTATCAATAACAAAATAAATAAAAAATTATATAGCTCCGATAGTGTTCAAATTTCTGTTCATTACGCATATAAAGTTACCTTAAAGTGATACTGTATATAAAGATCCGTTTGTTGAGTTTTTTTAACTTACAAAATTGGAAGTGGCTTCCAGTTCTTCATACACCATTTCCATTTTGATTCCATTTTCAGACTGCAAGCTGGACATTGCGTTTATAGTTGAAAGCTACAATATGCGTTTTTCAAAAACGTTCTTGGCAGGATTAATGGAGGATATTCCAATTTCTTCTGATGGAGTAAGAGTGGGATTTGTAACATATGATTCCGGGGCATCAAAAGAGTTTGGGCTTACGTCTTACACAACATCTGAGACCGTCAGAGGAGCAATTGAAAATGTGCCTGACAGAACTAGATCGGATCACTTTGTATACGAAGGATTAATAAAAGCCCGGGACAGCGTGTTCACGGCCACTGATGATCGCGAAGATGCCAACAACCATTACGTTTTTGTTGTGGGGCCATTTTACAGCGAAACGGCTGCCGTTTCGCGCGCAATCAGAGGCAGTGGGAACAATTTTATCTTCGCAGCTCGTAAGTTTCTCTTAATTACGAAGCATAGATCATACATTGTATTTTGTTTCCTTAATTTTTTTGTAGACAATAAATGAGATTATAAGAATATCAAGTAATTTTTTAAATAATCATTTTTGCAGATATCGGCTCATCATTTCAATCCGAATACCAAGAATCTGTCGATTCTTGCGGTGACTACACAAGATACACCAATACCGATTCATATGATAACCTGCTCAACATCAGACAACAATTTATAGAGAAGATCACTTCATGTGAAGCAGTAATTGAAATAACCCAAGGTACTTTTGATTTATGTTGGTTTATTCGGATGAATCAAAAACTGAAATTGACATCAATTCATTCGTCGCTTAATTACATATAAATTTCAGTCTAAAATACTTTAAAATTATTTCTCTAGAAGTTAAAAGAAAAATTCAGATAATTATGGTCCCCGCTTTCGGAGTCTTATCGGTCGGGGTGCAATGAACCGATTGACATATTGTAACTCTCTCGTCTGTCCAATGTCCCTCATGGTAAAAAAATATATTTTTAAGCAACATGATCTGATGCAAACTTTACAGCCAAATTATTTTATTTTGAAAATTGAGTCAAACTTCAAGGCCATGAAGAGAAAAAGTTATGCACGTGTAAAATTTGAAAGCTTCTTTTCTGGTACAAAAGTTTCGGCCAAGGTTAAATTATCTGAAAAGTATGTCAGACTTCAAAGGTAAAAAAACAACAGTCCATTTAAAAATTCACAAGTATTGCACACAAGAAACATGGAAGCTCCATCTCCACTCATTCAAAATCTACACGAATTACTAAAGTTTAAATTGAAACAAGAGGCACATGGGCTACATCGCTCACCTGAGCATTGGCTAGGAAAAAGCACAAATCGTATTGAAAAGTTTACATGGGGGACTTGAATTTTAAACTACCTGAGGATGCCTCCATATCAATGTTTTTTCCCTATATTTCTTTGTAAAAATTTTATTCCTCATTGTGGCCCCGCATTACCCCCGGAGTCATCATTTGAACAACGTGCATCTACACTACCTAAGGATGCTTACATATCAATATGAATAAATATGGTTTTCCGTTCTTGAGAACAATTTTTCCTATATATTTCTATGTAAAACTTTGATCCCCCATTGTTGCCCAACCCTAACCCTGGGGGTCATCATTTGTACAAACTTGAATTAACACTAGGTAAAGAAGGTTTCCTATAACTTTCAACTTTTTTGGCCCATTGGTTCTTGAGAAGAAGAATAATATAACATGCCACCAAATTTTCACTATTTCTGAGTTATCTCCCCTTGATTGAGGGCGTGGCTCTTCATTTGAACAAATTTGAATCCCCTTCACCCAAGGATGCTTGTGGCATGTTTGGTCGAAATTGGCCTAATGGTTCTGGAGAAGTCGAAAATGTGAAGTTTACAGACGGTCGGACAGCTAGATGGATTGACTAGACAAAATGTGATCAGAAAATATCTTTCTTGAGCTTTCAGCTTAGGTGAACCAAAAAGTCGTAACTCAAGGTTAAAGGTGCATAGACACAGATTTGAAGTTTATATTTTCTCAAATTTTCTGTATGATATCACAACTTATATGTTGCTATAGCATTTCACAAAAAATAAAATAAAAAAACTTATTTAATCTGGAAATTATTGAAACTACGAATTTCGGGAGGCGTTTGATAGCCACATCCTTGCACTTTCACAATTTTAACTTTATACTTCAGAAAAGTAGCAATTTAGTTGTGTATTAATGAATAACATTACATCTATAATCCAGAAAGCAAAACCCACTCACTGAAGTATTGTCAGCCCGTGCTCAGTGTTGTGTAGTTGTGTACAGAGTTTAACAAATTGAATACACCCGTGAAACGTAAACTGTTTTCGTGAACAGGGCACGAGCTCTGTTGTTGTTAATATTTACGTTTCACCGGGTGTGTTCAATTGTTAAACTCTCCACACACACCACTGAGCACGGACTGACAATACTGGTGAGAGGATTTTGCTTTCTACATTTCTACTATGAAATTTCTGCATTATAGTTTTAATATTTTTCATTAATAAACAACAAAATTGCTACTTTTCTAAAGTAATAAGGATAAAGTTAAAATTTGTGAAAGTGCAAGGATGTGTCTATCGAACGCGTCCAGAAATTCGAAGTTTCCATAACTTCCAGATAAAAGTAAGATTTTTATCAAATTTTCGTATGAAATGCTATAGCAACAAATAAGTCATGAAATTATACAGAAAACTTGAGTACATATTAACTTCAAATCTGTGTCTAAGCACCTTTAAGGTCACATGTGAAGTTTTAAAAATACTTACAAAGGAAATATAAAGATAACATATCTGCACGATAAAATAGAATCATATTAAGTTAAGATTCATTTATATACGGATTTCGTGAACACCCAATACCACAAAGTTTACATAAACAGACTATTTTTAGCTTACTGCTCAGACACCAGAAGAACTTATGCGATAATAAGATGTCCGTCCTCCGTCCGTCTGTTTGTCCGTTAACAATCTTCAAAACGCTACTCCTCCTATAGATTTGGTCTTACTTCAATATAACTTGGAACACAAGTAGACTACACTAAGATTCATAATTCTTTTTATCAGTTTTTGATTTTGATGAACGGTTTGTCATGGTTCCTAAAAATAGAATTTCTGTAAAATATGTTCAAAACGCTACTCCTCCTACAGTTTTGGTCTGATTTCAATGTACTTTGGAACACAAGTAGACTACACTGAGATACATACATCTGTATATCGGTTTTTGATTTAGATGAATGGTGTTATCTTGGTTACTAAAAATAAAAATTTATGAGAAATATAAAACGCTACTCCTCCTACAGTTTTGGTCTGATTTCAATATAACTACTGGCACACAAGTAGACTCCACAAAGAATCATAATTCTGCATATCAGTTCTTGATTTCGATGAACGGTGTTTCCATGATAACTAAAAATAGAAATTTTTGTAAAATTGCAAAAGGCTACTCCCCACACAGTTTAAGTCTGATTGCAATAAATCTTGCCACAAAAAGATAGTACTTAAACCAGGAATCATTATTCAATTTATTGATGTTGATTTTTTCAAGTCCAAGTACTATTATTTTTCTCTTCCTTTGTTTTAATCATAAACCAGTAGAGCTACAGTCTCATCAGAGGCTTCTGGTTTATGAGTTGCCAGCCACTAAAAAAACGAGTCTCCATCAACATGAAATTTTAAAGCAATCTGCAAAATTTAGTCTTAATCATTTTAAATTCATCCACAGCAATAGGTGCCTGGATCTGAAATTAAGGCACAGACTAGCACGGACCATCAACATTTATCGAAAATTTTCGGTACATTTGATCTTAAAAACGCCAAACCATTCTATGATTTTTCCGATTTAGAAAAAATGTTGTGGCCCCTAAAATTATTTATTACTACATGTATTATTATTATTATTTTTATTTTTTACTTTATTGTATTTTAACTTTGTAGGTGCTGTATGCATAAACGCTCAAATACATGAATATTCATGAAGCATTATTGCAGCTGTGTGCTGCTGGTTTGTACAACATCCGATTGCTTACTTATAACTTTTATTTTTTACAACAGAACACCAAAGTATATAATTTCCACCAACATTTTATTAACATTTTGCACATAAAACAAATCTAGTAAGCAAAAGTAGCGAAAGATTTATTTTCGGCATATTTAGTTTGCGTTACTTTTTATGAAACTAACATACATTAAAATTGAGATATTGAACAGCGTGTACGATATTTAACACAAATTCAATTATTTCTCTGAAATTAAAAAATTCATTAGCGCATTTCGGAAAAAAACCCATATTATCTATATGAACAAGACATTTAGCGATGTACTTTTTTTTCTAGTGGAATCTGCTTTCTGCCAAAAGCGTTAAATACATTTAGCATACAAATCCAAGTGTTATACGTTTATAGTACAAGCACAACACAGCCTAACCAAGCTCGTCACAAGAGTATTACATACAATGTCTAGCCAAAAAACCTATCAATTTGATTAAAAATCTCTTGGAAAAAATTTTTTTTGGCAATATTGAACTCTGAAGTTTAAAGAATTACTTGTGGTATAAATATTTTTCAGAGTGTAAAATTGACTTAGCCTTCATAATTGATGACACAGACACTATCAGTGCATCCAAGTTCCAGGAAATGAAAACTTTCCTTGTAAGTCTTGTCACCAAAATTGTTGTTGGTGACAATGCAGTAAGAATAGGGGTCGTAACTTACGGTGACGATGCAACAACCGCTTTTACACTAAATCAGTACTCTACTGCTTCTGATGTGAAAACTGCTATTAATGGCATAACTCAGGGAAATGCAGCGTACGGTAGGGATCGCCGCCTGGTGGAAAAAGCCCTCTTGTACACCCTCTGGAACTTCTTCACCAAGGAAAACGGAGAGCGTAAGGACGCTAAGAATTTCTACGTTGTTCTTACATATGGAGGTTCCTATGACATGCAAGTGTCGGATTATGGAGCAGCAATCCAGTACAATTCAATGGTCGAACTTTTCATTCTTGGTATTTATTCAAAGTTCCTTTTGGTATTATGAATTGTCTGCAAAGTGCTTGAAATGTAAATTTATATTCCATGGTTGAAAGGCCTTTCATGTTATATTTTGCCAAACTTTAATTCCAAAATAATATAAAAATCATTTCAGGTGCTAATGTAACATCGAGCTTCGACTCTGATTTTGAGGGTGCAGTGACTGAAGGAAGGTACATGTCAGCCAGCAATTTTATAGAACTTCAGTGTAACAGTAAAGGTCTGGTCTCCAACATTACTGAGTGCCCCACAGAGGACCCTGTACCTCCTGCTACGCCCAGTAAGTCTCATGAAATAGTTCTTTATATATCCCTTTTTAGCTCATATAAGCTTGAAGATCAAGTGAGCTTTTCTGATCACCCGTTGTCCACTTTCCGTCTAATAATCTATCTGTTCATCCGTCTTACCTTTACAAATTTTGAACTGCTTCAGAAGAAGCGCTAGACCAATTTTAACCAAAATCTTTCTTCGGGAAACGAGACTCAATTTTTTTAAGTAAAGGACCGTGCCTTCTTTAAAGATAATATAATTTAGAAAGGTTTAAAAATTGGGTAATGACATTAAAAAGTTCCTCATTTCAAGAACTATAAGTTTTACATCCTGGATTTTTACATTTTGGTATGAAGAACAGTTGGGCAAAATGGACTCACGTGAGCGCAGGTTAATAACCCTCTTGTTTTGATCAGTGATTACAAATTTGTAACTTTGAAATATATTATCGGTATATTTATTAAAAACGTTTGAAAATATATCACGACTTCTGATAAATACAATTTACCTATTTCTATGCATATGCATGAATTATTACTTGTTTCTTATATGTGCTTTTTATTAAAATGATCTGCTGAAATTAAGGATATGAGAACCAATTCTATTTTCTGCAATAAAGTCAAAGTAGATGGAGTTGTGATAATTTTCTCAGATGTAGGCACTGGTGCATCAATATGTATATATAAATCCTCCTAGGCAACTTATCTCATCTCTGGTGTCTCCAGAAATCCGTGTTTTTTGCCCTTTTCACGACTTATAGTAGGTACATGTAAAGGATTTACAAGATCGATACTGTTGATTATCTTAACCTTTTTCTCCATTAAAAAAATACTTTATTCAGATATGAAGAAATTGAGGAAATTGCAATGTTTATAACCTCAGTCCAGACTATAAGTGCCTCATTTGACCTTTACCAATGTAGGGAGCGAAAGCATCAGATGTGCAATGAAATATGAAGATAACGAACAGTACTCAAGCTCAAAATCCTTTAAACAATGCAAATCGGGAGCAGAGCAAACACAGACCTCCAAAAACATCAGAGTGGGGATCAGGTGCCATAAAGGAGTGAGCATCCCGTGCCAAATTTCATTTTTTCATTGTATCTGAATTGTGGTTTTGTAAATATAGAGGGAGTTGTCGAAATTTTTATCCCCTCTCGTATATCTTAACTAACTACAGTGCATTATATTACCTTAATCTTTTTTCAGTGTTATTTTAATAAAAGTAAAACAAATTAAAAAATTGTGTATTAATCTTATGTGTTACAGATTGTAAGCTGGATATATTATTTATGCTGGAGGCATCTAGTTCTTCTGCCGGTGCTAAATTTATGTACCTGAAAAGTTTCTTTGCTAACATAGCACGGCAAATTAGCGTCTCATCGGACACTGTCAGAATTGGTGTCATCACATACGACTACAAAGGATACAGACAATTTGATCTTCAAACACACACGACCAGTGACGACGTTAGTAATGCCATAATGAAGATACCAGAGGGTTCGATCCCTAAGAACCTACTTGATAAAGCTTTATTGTATGCAAGAACAACCTACTTCACAGAGGCCAACGGAGATCGCGCGGACGCAGCCAATTACTATGTCTTCTCCATGGATGGAATAAGGGCTGGTTCTGCTATACAAGGAGCTGTTATAAATGCTAACTGGCCTGACCAGGTTTTTGCCGTTGGTGAGTCAGAACTATCGCTATCTTTAGTCAAAGTCTTACAAAAGATATACTGCAGCGTTTAGGAGGAAACATAAATTATCAAGAACAGCAGCACAGGGCATCACTGTGTCCAACTTAGGAAAACATTTCACAATTCATTAAGATTTGTTCAAACTATGATCTCTAGGTCTCAAATAGTTGATTAGAGTTTTACGTGGGAATTTGCAAGAACTAATCTCTAAACATTTGTAAATGCATGTGTTTTACTCTTAAAATATTTCAAAATGCAAATTTCACTTAAAATATTCAATGAATCAGATCATGCCTTCGGCGTCGGACAAAGTTTATTGTCAACATATCAAACAAATCATACAGTTGCGTAACAAATTAAAAGCCACGAAATGGCTTTATTGATATGTTGGGTAAAAATAATGAAGGGAAAAACCATTCATGACTATAATATTTATCTCCAAAAACAAAAAGATACTTACCCCAAAGTTTCAATACTAGTTGATCCAAAGTAATGGCACTTCTGCTTTAAAATCTTTAATTATGGGAAGTCATCAACAAAACCTTATGTACTTATACCTTTATTCATTTTTACTCTTGCCTAAAAATTTCATTTAGATACTATTGCCTAACAATTTTATTAAGGTGGAGATTTTACACATTATACTTGTCTACAGCTTGGCGCACTGATTGGAGCGTCTGCTCTAGAGTCGCGGAATAAGGAGTTGATCCTTGCATGGCGAGTTTGAATCCCACTGCGGGACGTGGACACCGGTCCTTCCGATGAGACCGTATAAACCGAGGTCCCGTGTGGCAGTAGGTGCACGTGCTGGCACAAAAAGATCCGACATTGTTCAATGGCCCTGAGTGCTGAGTATACGTCTAAATTTTGAAACCCTCCACCAGCAAGTGGTTGCTTCTCGATATGAGTGAAAATTTCTCGAAAAGGACGCTAAACAAACAGACAAACATACATTACTTAATTTATGAAATATAAACACAAGGTTAGGTTTCGCCTATCTCTTGGCAACAATAACGTTACCGACGTCATTTTGACTAACTTTTCGGCACTCATTTTCAGTTCATTCACAATTCTATTAAATCTCTCATGCTTCTTAATTTTCGTGCTTTTTAATTATCTTTACTTGTCGTTTTAAAATAAAGCGTTTCAAGTTGATAGCTTTAAAAAAAAGTTAGAGTAAAAGAGGTCCAGATTCTCAACCTGGTCCTGTTTATTTTTATATTAGAAATTTCGTTTTCAAAGTCTTATTTTCACAGTTATCCACACGTTTTCGATAAGGTACATATCTTGGGAATGGGGGGGGGGGGGATGCATGGTGTAAATGCGTTTTTCATATCCCTACTTGTCTTTCAAGATGCATGCACTGGTTTATATACTGAAGATATACGTCTTGTTGACATTAGGCAAAAACTGATCAAACATTCATCAATGCCATAAAAATACAATGTCTTATTCGCAACTTTCCTGGGATACTCATTTTAAGGGCCCCGCTCTGCGGGCGCCCTTTAGTGATCAGTCTGTCCGTCCGTCCATCCTTCCGTCCGTCTGAGATCTCTTGTCCGGAGTCTATCTTCTCTCTCCTTGGCCCAATCTTGCTCATACTTCACCCACAAAGTGCCTTTCGGTAAAGGGTGTGAAGTGACCTTGAACCTATTTCTAGGTCTAAGGTTAAGGTCATAGCAGAATTATATGAAAAATCCTTGTCCAGAGCATATCTTCTCTCCTCTTGGTCCAATCTGGCTCATATTTCACTCACAGAGTGCCACTGGTCAATAAATGTGCAGTGACCTTGAACGAATCGAAGTTTCTAGGTCAAGGTCAATAATAACCTCTCTGTTTAAATTCTTGTCCGGAGCATATTTTCTCTCTCCTTGGCCAAATCTGGCTCATACTTCACTCACAGAGTGCCTCTTGGTAAGAAGTGTGCAGTGACCTTGAGCCATGTTTCTAGGTCTAAGGTTAAGGTCATAGCAGAATTATATGAAAAATCCTTATCCGGAGCATATCTTCTTTCCCCTTGGTACAATGTGGCTCATACTCCACTCACAGAGTGCCACTGGTCAATGTATGTGCAGTGACCTTGAACGAAGTTTCTAGGCCAAGAGTCAAGATCAAAAATAGCCTCTCTGTTTAAAATCTTTGTTCGGTGCATAATTTCTTTCCCTTAAGTCCAGTCAGCCTCAAACTTTTCCATTTGACTTGGGGTAGGGAACATCTGTGATTTTCCTTCCATATTTTTATAGAGAATGTGCAACAATTTTCATAGAGGATATGCAACATTTGTGATTTTTGTGCCGTTTTTTGATAGAGGGTATGGAGCTCTCGTGATTTTCGTGCCATTTTTTTTTTATAACAAGGATGACAAAGAAGCCCTTTAGACTCAAACAACACATCCCATAATAGCACCGGTACACAAATATTCCTCTTTAAAATAAACCCTTTTCAGCTACCTTACATTTTCTTGTTTGTTGCTGAAAGCGGGACCCTTTGAGATGGCTACCATCTCAATGATATGTCTCTCAATTTTTGTTATCTCCTGTGAACTGTCCTTTCGAAAGCTTCTTTATTGTATTTTCATTATACAATAAAGAAATATCTGATTTACCTGTAGTCTCGAGGGTAAGGTAATACATAAGTAAGTCAAAATGTTCCTCAAATTTGATTTTTTTTTTTTGAAAAGTGATATTTTTGTTCCAAGATACTATGTGTAATATGAAAGAAATTTCTTTTCTCCACAAAATTTGAAATATAGCCAACAGACCCCTGTAAGAAAAGTGTTGAATCAGACATTCACATTGTTTTAAAATTACAACAGTGGGACGGACAACTTCGGAATGGACATTTTTCCGAACTTGCGCACCCTTTTCCTTTAAAGCTATTATCTTAGGATTTTTTTTAAATGGTGGGGTTTTTATATTTAAATTGATTTATGAAATAAAAAATCCAACATTTTTAGCTAGTTTTTGAGATATTAAGTGGCAAAGATAAAAATCCCATGGGGAAACATGTACTTAAAATTACCCCATGAAAAACCCCACAAAAACTCCATGGGGTTTAAAATTTTCCCCATGGGGGAAAAAAACCCATATAATCTTTCGTGGGGTTTTTAAGCCCATATACGACTAAAAATTACATGTGGGTTTTTTTCCCCCATGTTTTTGTTACTTAGGGTAAAAAAAACCCATGTAATCTTCATTATATATCTTTGATTTCATGAAAATTGGAATGGAGACATTAATTATTGTCTTGTCTTATTTTCAAACTTATTTCCAAGAAATAATAATTTCAGACATGTCTTCTCCTCATTTTTTTTTCAATATTTTTGAAACCTTGTTAGTAGCAAAATCATTTGTTCTTAGAGATAACAAATTCTGTTTATTAATTAATTCATAAATTATCTTGGTATGTCCCACTTCCCTTGGATCCCCAACTCATAAGAAGAGACCGTTGAATCCACCAATAAATTCTTTGAATCTATGTATGATTCATGTTACATAGATATATTTTCTATATGACTTATTCATATAAAGAATAAACTTTCTTATCTCCCATACAGAAGAGTACCATTGCTATATATATTTCAATATTTATTTCATATTTCTTTTTTTCCTTCAAATTTCCCCTTGGATCCCCAAATAAACTGGATCCTTGGATCCATCACTTAATTCTATGGAGCTATTTAACTCATTCATGTTAAGCTTAATTAAGTTATGTACGTGTGCTTGATATCATTTTGTTGAAATCAAAAAATAATTTATATTATCAGATAAAAGTATGTTCCTCTCACTTTCAATCAATAGCCTGAACATAAAACATTTATTCTTGAGACCTGATTAACATATTAAAATCATTTACTTTAAAATAAATATACTTTTAATATCTCAAACTTTTTAATTCATAAAATATTCCCACTCCCCTTGGATCCCCCTCTCAAAAGATTAGACTCCTGGATCCACCACAAAATTCTCTGGATCTATGTTTGAATATTTTTTTCTTCAAATTAAATCAATACATATGTGATTAGATAAAGTTCTTCTTCCTTTGGATCCACAACTTAATTAAAATTTAATTGATCCTATTATTTGTTATCAAATTGTAAACACATGTAATATCTTTTTTTTCAAATATAAGGATATGCAAATGCTGTTTATAAATTAATTAAAAAATTAGGTCCCATTCCCCTTGGATCCCCCACTCAAAATAATAGACCCTTGGATCTAGTAACCACTAAATTCTTTGAATCTATATATAATTCAAACCTATATATAATATATGACTCATTCATATAAAGGATAAATTTTCTTATCTCCCATACAGAAGAGTTACATAGCTATATTTCAAATTTTTTTTCATGAATATCTCTTTCTTTTTTTTTAAATTGATAAATTATTCCCCACTCCCCTTGGATCCCTCATTCAAAAACCTGGATCCTATGATCCATCACTTAATTCTTTGGATCTATATAATTCACTTATATTGAGCTTAAAGTTATGTAACTTTGACATTATGCTTAAAACAAAACTTCATATTATAAGATAAAGCTACATTCCTCTCCCTTTCGATAAAGAGCCATGAACATTAGACATGCCTGATGTTCTCAATTATTCATAGGTTTAACATATATATCAAAAATCATTTATTCTTAAATATAAAATACTTTTAATATCTCAAACTTTTTAATTCATAATATATTTCCCACTCCCCTTGGATCCCCCTCTCAAAAGATTAGACCCTTGGATCCACCACAAAATTCTCTGGATCTATATTTGAATATTTTTTCTTCAAATTAAATCAATACATACATTGTATGTGATTAGAAAAAGTTCCTCTTCCTTTGGATCCACAACTTAAGATTTTTATCCCTAATACCTGTTATTAAATTGTAAACACATGTAATGTATTTTTTATTTTAAATATTATAAGGAAATAAAATTAGAAATTTTAAAAAGGCAGATGAAAGAATTCATTATCATGTACTCTCATTAATTCC